ATGATGGCAAATTTTGTGAATTGTTTTTCTCTCTTCCCCTTATCTGGCTCTAAAACCTTTTGCTACCCAACCTGACTCTGTAGTTCTGTTTCTTACTTGTTTATTATTGATTTTGTTCTTGTCTAGTTTTTTTTTTTTAAGATGTTTTTAATGTTCTGTTTCTCCCTCCAGGCCAGTATAAAGGACTTGAAGTATTTTTTAATAATCCCCCCCAAAAGAATTTCAGAAGTACCATTATGATTTTAGGGTTTTATTTTCCTAAATCACTTCATATGCCTGTTTCCAGCACTGATTATCTTCATAATCTATTAGGGTAGAAGGATTTGCAGTCATTCATATCCTGTGATTGGGCAATTTAATCATTAGCTCTCAGCAGTCACCTTGAGGCAAGTGGAAACAGCTCTGGGCAAACGGTGCTCTAGGGTCACTGGGAAAGTCTAAAAACAGGCGGCTGGAGGTACTGTGACGGCTTTAAAAGCAGCTACCTTATTAAATAGGGTTTGTGTCGATATTGGAATGAAGACAATCTTCCCTACTTTGGGTCTTTCATTTGCTGTTGTAGTTATATGTGTTTAGTATACCTTGTCGACTTGTGCTTTTATAATCTCTAATTTGAAAATAGTGTGTCCTCCTGGATGCCTTCATTTCCCCCAGCTCTAGATGCAAATATTTAAATGGCTGCAATTGTGAGAGTGATCCGTGGATGGTATAAATGCACACCTTCTCCTTGACCTTGGGTCTGTGGGACTAGAAATGAGGTGATCTCCTCAGTCCCCTGAAAGAGACGGAATCAATGTGGCCATGGGTGGGAACTTCTATCCAGAACCCAGTGAAGAACTTGACTGTCTGAACAAATGTATTGAGCCTCTCATGGAGTTTTAAGACATCTAACAAATACGAAAAATGTGGAGCTCTATAGTTCAAGATTTAAAAAAAAAAGATGTTTCTGAAAGTGATGATAAGTAACTACTTTTAAAGTGCTGCATATTTATACAACTGAGAGATTATTTTTGTAGATGCAAATGTCTGTGAGCTGGGATATGTGTGCAGTGCTTCAGGCATTTAAAAATCACTTTTTTATTCCTAGGGAGATGCAAATAAACAGAACTCTCTTGTTTCTTCTGTGTCTTTATATATTTGTTTTCTTTTTCCAAGCTTGTGTTACCTCTTGTGTTCTTATTTATTATAAAATCTTGTTGTCTTGAACATTACGATGTTCCCTATAGATGAAGGAAACTCAACCCCAGTTCTACTCTCTGAAACCTCCATTCTACTTCCGCCACCCCTCTCTGCCCTTTTCCCTGTGGCTTTAACATAAGTAGTGATGTCTTTAAATGAGAATATACTTTGTGGTGTCTAAAATGGTATTTTTTACCAGACAAAAAACATCTCCAATAAAAATTTTACTTCTCTTTCAATATTATCACTTTATTCAAATAGTTTTATTTTTTTAATCAATATGTATGTTTGTGTCTGGGTACAGGAAATCGTGCTCACTTGAAGGTGTTCTTCCTAGAAAGGCTGTTACAAATATCTACTCTCCGAAGGTCTTGAAATTAGACATATCCATATTTGGCCATTGAAAAAGAAACATTTCAAGCTGATCCCTTATCGCCTTCTCTGAGCAGCCTCCAAACAGCATTTGAGGACTGAAACCATAATTGTACACCCTAAACCTCTAGTCGCAATTTTTAGGCAGTATGAACTTTCTTTTAGAGGCCTTTTTGCCGCTCGGGGAAATGGCCGCTGAGGAACTAGGTGCCTCGCCGTTGTTAGCGCCCGGACACAAATCAATTTAGTGGTTACTAACTTTTTGGTATGAAGTTAAATACACATGTTTAAAACCTCACACAATATGTAACCTCTCCGGGCGGGACCGCTCCCTTATGGATCTGCCAGAGAAAGCGCAGAGACCCAGGGTCCAAAGCTACTTTCGTTTTCTCTGGCCCCGCTTGATTTCTTTCCTACCTTGCACCGATGGTTGGCTGTGGGCGGCCAACTTCGTTTTAACTGACACAGAGAGACAGACAGACAGAGAGAGAGAGAAGAGAGAGAGGAAGAGAGAGAACGGACTATGATTCAAACTGGAGAAGAAATAACCCTTGAAAATGGGGACACATCGACCCCGACCTTCCACTTTCAGGAAGAGTTTCTAACGTTTTCTCGGTTTTCCTCACAAGATGTGCTTTCATGTGAAACGGGCCTGTTTTCCCTTCTTTTCCATCGTCGTTTTCCCTCCTTTTTTGTAAATTCCAGACTCCAGGGCCGCACTCCATTCCCAGGTCCATTTCTAAGGTTTCCTGTCGGATGGGGGGATTGCCACGAGGTTTTCCTTTCATCTGTAGTTGGCCGGTCAGTTTCCCTCCGCCTAAGAGAAATGGGAGGTTTGCTGAAGATTAAAACTGCTCAAATGCTCTCCGGTGGAATTTGAATTGATGGCTAAATCAGTAACAGATGAAGACTTTGCTATTTATATGCATTCCTTTTATATTCCGAATTGAGGAGGGAGTAGAGGAGCCGGTAGGTGGCCGAAGCGCTGGATGGGGAGGCCCGCGGGGAGCCAGGGCGAAGGGAGCTTCGGAGAGAGGCCTTTCCTTCGGGTGGAAACTGAGAGGCCGCAGGGAGAACGCCACCGAAACCTGGCAGGTTTCGAGCGCCGCTGGTGGAGACTCAAGGCCCGCGCGTCTACGCGTGAGTCAAGAGGCGAAGGACGCTTTGCAGCCGGGGCGCACAGACAAAGACGCGGCCGCGACGCTTCCCCGTGTCCGGCAGCCTGCTGGGTGACTCTGACTCCGCTGTCCCGGCCAGCCTTGCTGCCACGATCTCCGGCTTTCCGAGACACTTGGCGGAGCCTGGCAGAGGGCCGTGACCGCACCGGCGGGCGACCCCAGGCCGGCGGTGCCGCCCTTCACTGTTGATCTTGACCGTGCTGCGGCGCGTCGCCAGGCGTGGAGCTCGCTCGCCATCTCCTGGGCGGTCGGCAGCATTGGCAGAGCTCGCGGTTTAGCTCCACGGCCAAATCCTCTCCCTCCCATTCCCCAGCTCACCAGCCAAGCCTCCTGCCCTGCCCCGCCCCCCGCCGCGCAGTCTGCAGCTCCCAGCTCCCAGCGTACAACTTTGCTTGCTGGACCTCGGAAATTATAAATCCAGGAGATGAGGTGGGGCCCCATTCTGAGCCAAGGAGATAATGGAGGGAGTCTAGTTGTTCTAGTCTTTCTGTTTCTCACTTAGCCCCTTTATATCTTTAGTCCCCAGGGGTAAACCGCAGCTGTGCCGCTGCCTAAGGGTCCGGAGAAGACACCCCTGGACTTGGAAATACCGGTGCATCGCTGTATGCTGAGACCGGAGAAGACGAGACTGCAGGGATCTCTGGAGCTGGAGCTTCGGGCTTGGGGAGGCTGTAGCTCCTGGAAAGCAGAGAGAGTTTCCCAAAATGAGAGCCTGGATCCCCTAAGTCCTTAGGAACTGAGGTTGCAGCTTATGCCTACACCACCCCAACCCCCGGAAAGGACGGGGAGTGGAGTTCTTGTCTCTTAAGTCTGAGCTCCTAAGGAAACTCTGACAGAACCCTGAAGAGTCCCGGACATCCCCATCCCCACCCCCTACCCCCGCCCTAGAGCGAGAGGAAGAGACCGACTGCGTTCCCCAGAGCCGCCCAATTGGTCGCCATAACTCACACAATAAAGTCGCAGCGCGGTGGTCAGCCTTGCCCTCCGGCGGCGCCTGTGTGGTCTCCGTGCCGGAGCTGGCGGTCTAACCAATTCCAGCTTGGCTTGCGGACCAGCGAGGCGGGCTGCAGGTTGGGGCGGGCGCCAGTCACGCGGTCGCTGGGGTTCTTGGGACCAAAGCAGCAGAGGAGGACCCAGAGCCCTCTGGCCAAACTAAATCGGAGGGCCTGCGGGCCGGGGGCGGGGGGGCTGCCACTCTGCTCCCGGCAAGGGAGAGCTGCCCGGCCCACATCCCTGTTCGCCAGAACCCCGAACCCGCCAGCCGCCTTGGAGGCGCTGAGCCGAGGATCGCTGCTAGCCTGCTGCCTCGGTGTGCCCCGCTGTTCCTGGCCGAGTGACTCTGGCTCTTCTGTCCTTCCACACCAGGTTGCGGGGAGCTCGTCTTGCTCTGCCCGCTGCAGAGGAGTTGAACAGCTTGGAGCTCTGGTTGGCAGGACCTAGTCGCCAAGGTGACTCCAGGCGATAAAAGGAATGTAGCCTTTGGCCACGACTGGCCAACGCAGCTGCCCCTTCCTGGGCCAGCATTCTCCATGGACCTGGATGGCCGCAGCTTCCCTGGGAGCAGAGGGCTTGGCCATGGAGAAGCACACCAGAACTGGTGTGAAACCAGCTTCCTGGGAGCCAAACTTGGGCAGAGTTTGTGATGCATTTCTCCTCCTTCAGCAAATTTCTTGGACTGTGCCGGGTTCAGGCAGTGTGTGGGTCTTCGCTGCTAGACCACTAGTGCAGAATCCTCTCCAGAGGAACAGGGCAGGGAGGAAATCGGGGTGGGAGAAGCGTTGCTCAGGCCTAGGGGTTAGAGCTGGTGGCCGCACCACACCCTGGGCTCTCCGCGCAAGCCTAGAGGTGCGCAGTACTGGAAAAGGCCTTAGCTGCAACTTAAAGCGGGTGGAAGCAAGCCGGGCCCAGGTAGCCAGTGGAAAAGGGGAGTGCAAAGCTAATCAAGACCAAGAAGGATCCCAAGGGACACTCGGGCAAAGACACCCAATGTCCCCAGCTTCTGAAGCTGATCCTGGAAACTCCCAGTTGGTTTCACCCTCGCTCAACGTTCCTTGCTTCTGCCTGGCAGCCTCGCCCTTCACCATCGAATATTGCGGGTGTTATCATAATACCCTGAAGGGGGGGAAACGGGTCGGGGGATGTAGGCGGTGCTGAAATGACCGGCTTTGAAGAACCTGCAGGCAAAGTTTCGTCCAATCGTCTGAGCCTGTTCTCTTATTCCCGGTTGTAACTAAATACTGCTGCGAGCGCAGCCGAAGCCCTTTGTTGGAGATGTGTGAGCGCAGTCTCTACAGGGCGGGCTATGTGGGCTCGCTTCTGAATCTGCAGTCGCCTGACTCCTTCTACTTCTCCAACCTGCGGCCGAATGGCGGCCAGCTGGCCGCGCTCCCCCCCATCTCATACCCGCGAGGCGCGCTGCCCTGGGCCACCACGCCTGCCTCCTGCGCCCCAGCGCAGCCTGCCGGTGCCACGGCTTTCAGCAGCTTCTCGCAGCCCTACCTGGCTGGTTCCGGGCCGCTTGGCCTACAGCCCCTGGGCGCCAAGGACGGACCCGAGGAGCAGGCCAAGTTTTACGCGCCCGATGTGGCTGCCGGGCCGGAGGACCGTGGCCGTGCGCGGCCGCCCTTCGTCCCCGAGCCTAGCCTGGCCCCCGCGGCCGCTGCTCTCAAAGCGGCCAAGTATGAGTACGCGGGTGTGGGCCGCGCGGCAGCGGGCTCTGCAGCCCTGCTCGAGGGGACCCCCTGCGCTGCCGGCTTCAAGGAAGACGCCAAGGGCCCGCTCAACTTGAACATGACAGTGCAGGCTGCGAGCGTCGCCTCTTGCCTGCGACCTTCGCTGCCCGACGGTAAACGGTGGCCATGCTCCCTGGGCCAGTTTGGGCTGGGTTGGGAGGTGGGGTGCGGGGAAAGTGTGGAGGGGGAGGGAGCCGCTAGGCGCGGGCAGGCTTACAAGGCGCGGCCGGCCGGTCTGACTTGGGCTGGGGCTGTGTTGCAGGCCTGCCGTGGGGGGCGGCCCCAGGGAGGACCCGCAAGAAGCGGAAACCCTACACCAAGCAGCAGATTGCGGAGCTGGAGAACGAATTCCTCCTCAACGAATTCATCAACCGCCAGAAGCGCAAGGAATTGTCCAACAGGCTGAACCTCAGCGACCAGCAGGTCAAAATCTGGTTCCAGAACCGGCGTATGAAAAAGAAGCGCGTGGTCCTGCGCGAGCAGGCTCTGGCGCTATACTAGCCCCCCGCGTGGCCGCGGCTGGCCAGGCCTGCCTTTGAAAGCCGAGGCCTGGCGTGGAGGAAAAGCTGGCAGTAGGGGCTTTTCCTTCCGCTCCTTCTCCGCTGGTCCCACGTACCCTTCCGCTCGGTGTGCAGCCCCAGAAGTCAGCAGAGGATTTGGAGACCCGGCCAGTTGGGCCTCTAGGCTTCCAGCTCTCTGGGAGGGGCCTGCAGAAGTTGAAATATAACCTTGGCCTTGAGGCTTCCTGAGTGGGGGCCTGGTGTCACCTGTCCTAGCTCTTGTCTGGGGTATTTACACGGGTGCTCACTCTAGCACCCTTGTACTTGGATTTCTGCTTCCACCTAGACCCCCTTTCCTCTTCTCCCCAGTCCTTTTCGAATTTAGTAGGCACCTCACTAGAGCTCAGAGTGGAATTAAATTTAGGAAGTCCTTCGGGAAGGAGTAGAAAAGGGCTGCAAGGCACAATTCTGTCTCTTTGCAGCCAAAGCCCCTTGTGGCAAAGCCAGAAACTTGGCTCCGGAGAAAGAAAGGGCACCCCCCCCCGCCCCTCCTGTCTGCCCTGGCTGGTTCGGGAGGACAAAAGCCACCCTAGACATTCAGACTTGGGGAGGAAAGGGGAGAGGGGAGGGATGGTGTGGCTGGACAAATTCGAAGACACCTCGGAGTTTGGGCTGGGCTGGCCCCTCCAGCTGGACAGAATGGGGTGGACACTTCCTTGCTGTGGATTGGAGGGAGGCTGAAGCTCCACAGCAAACTGCGATCTCTAGATAGGACTGGTAAAATTTCTCCTACTTCTCCTATCTACTCACATACGTCTAGGCCAGAGCCCTGCACTCTGTAATTGGACTCAGCTCTGGTGAGGACAGCTGCTAATCTACTCTGGGCTGGGTTGCACTAGGAGGTGGGGAAAATACCCAGGGGGAGGAGAAGGGAGTGAGCAAGGAGAGGGGTGTCCTACATTCCAACTGTAAATATGGTTTCCCTCTTGAGGTGGGTAAAGGGGTGGACATATCTTTCTTGAATTAGGGTAATGGGCCACCGTAGGGAGAGGTGAAAGCTCCTCCATCAGTCAAGGCGTGAAGAAGGAGGTCCCTCAAATCCTTAGCCCCTAGTCGCTGCTGTTGACCAAGTAGAGAAGTTCCCCCTCTCTCACCCTCTTCACCACCAGACAACTCCACCCGGGGCCTTTCTGTGCCTCAGCCACCATGCCTTTTCTGAGCCCATGTCTGGCCTGCCTCAGGGGTGCCTGTATGGCCCTGGGTCCTGCTGGGCTTGCTTTGTGGAGGCTGGGGTTCCTGATGCTAGATGGAGTTCTGCATGTGCTGGGGTGTCCTGCCTTACCCTCAGAGAAACTGAGCCCCCCCGCCGCCCCCGCCAGCTCCTTCTACCATCCCTACCTCTTTTCCCTCTCCTTCAGAGAAGTAGCGCCCCCCAACTCCTACTGAGTTGTATGACAGCCAAAGAGTTGAAGATTGGTTCCCCAAGTCCAGTGATTTATTTTCAGTGGAGGACTAGGCCCTATATGTGGAGTGAGCACCTCACAGAGAGTCCCAAGCCTCAGTCCGACTGAGAGCAGTTTATGTTTTAGACTATTGCATTTTCTTTGCTATCTAACAGTTGTTGTGCATGTTTTATGTTGTTCTGATTTTGTCAAAAAAAAACACAATAGTTTGTATATATCAGATACATCAAAATGTTTTGAGTGGAAATAAATATCCAGGTCCCAGCCAAGCTGTCAAGGGACTGATGTCAATTTTTCAAAACGTTTCGGATTCCCTCCTGATGATTTTAGGCCACCAAATTCGTTTTTCTTTTCTGGTTGTGGTTTCACTGCAGGTGTTGACTGTTCATTAAATGAGAAAATGGCTTCCAAGTCAGTTAGAAAATGGTGTATAAACGCCTATGAACAAAATGTGTATGAAACATCCAAGTGGGAGGAGGGGCGACTGTGGGCAGATTGGAGGGCATTAAGTGAACTCTCAGCTTGTTGCAGGCCAGGGCTTCTGTATTTTACCTAAATTCTCAAACTTTAAGGCTTGCTGTTGGGGTGGGTGGTGCTGTTAAGATATGAAATTCCTCAGATTATTTCAACACAAAACATCTCTCCTGGCCATGTTTTGATCAGGCTACTTTGGAACAGGCTATGCCCTGTGGAAATCCTCCATCCTGGCACCTCTGCCTGGAGCCCAGCAGGTTCCCTTGGGAAATGTGGCCTCCACACCCCGTAGGCCTTAGGAGCCTCTAGCTGAGGATGGGAAAGTTAAAGCCTGCTCAGTATGCACCATCCTCTTGCAGACCTCAACTCCCAGCTAGCTTTGAAATGGAAACTAGAGAATTGCTAGCTTTTAGCTAGTGGAAGAATTAGCAAAACCATGAAATCTCCAATGCCAAGTAGTCATGGGCTCCAACTCCCCTTTCCTGAAGCAAATTTGCTGTGTATTTTAAAATATTTTTAAAACAGCTCCTTTAAGAAAAAATACAACGGCGGGGGGGCAGGGGAAGAAGTGAGAGGCCGCAAGGCCCTCTTTAGAAATGTTTTCCCACCTGATGGGGCTCAGGGAGGTAATGGTACCCAGAGCTGAGTCTCTCCCCCAAAACAGCCGAACAAAGGCGGAGGCCACATGCAGACCTCAGGTCCAGAGAGCTGGGTAAAGGACTAGGAAACTGGAATAAGACGTAGGCCCTAGGATAACACAGAGACAGTTTCTTTCCAATATATACCCTTAAATCATCATGTTCTTTCTCTTTAGCCTGGGAGGTGGGGTTGGAGGAGAAATTCATGGAGCCCACTCCCCAAAGAGATTGAAATTATTCTAAGTGTAAAATCTCGATTGTCCATTGGGGCTTCAGCAGTGTTTTTCAAATTTATCCCCTTTACTGTATCCGCACAAATACAAAGGCGGGGTGGTGTCCTCTCTCCTTTCCTAGCCAAGGTCCTGGCGGGGATTTGGAACCACGAAGAAATTCCTAAGAAACAAACGCGGAGAGAAATGATGCTGAAATCTGAGTGCTCAACATTCCCTCGCACAAAGACAAATGCGTCCTCCGAAATGCTGCAGGCCGGGCAGGCCTCTTGACCAAGAAAAGGGGTTTTAAACGAGAAAAAATGGCTTCGGCTGGCATTCAACCGGCTGCAAGCTCAGAGGGCCGACCGGGGGGGCTCTTAAGGCCTGGGGGCTCTCCCCGAAGGAGGCGGGCTAGGGAGGCTTCCGGGAGGCCGGCGGGTGGAGGAGAAATCCAGAACCGTTGTAAATATTCATGTCTGCGGGGGGGGGGGGGTGCCTCTTCACCCCGCCTCTCCCAGCTGCAATCACCCCCCCTTCGTGAGGGGGGGTGCACAGCGCCTGTCCGACCGTCCTTGGACAAAGATGATCTCCCCACATTTTTGTTCTCCAGTCACTTGACTTAGGGAGCCCATTCCGAAGGCTCTGCAGGGAAGGGACTGGCTCTGGGTGTTTTCCCCCGCGTTTCTCCTCTTCTTTCGTTTCGAAAAGAGCATAAATAATTAAAGTTTGGCAGGGAGGAAAAGCTTTCTTGCAGAACTGTAGTGGCAATAAATGAAATGACTCAGAATCCCTTCCCCAGTCAGCTTTTACGAGGGCTGCCAGACAGTGTCTGTTCACGTTCTCCAGATACCAGGGGCGCCCTGACAAAGTTAAGGTCAAGTTAGTGTCTTATCTTGGGTGGCTCAAAATTACCGCATCGCGTCTGGGCGCTGCGCGGAAAGCTACCACTCGCGGAGCAGTTGGATGCGCCGGAAGGGTCGGATGCGCTCCTTGTGCTTCGAGTGGGGCCGCGCAGGCAAGGACAAGGCCACAACGCCGGAGTCTTCATGGTAGGTTCTCGCGGGACGCGCAGGGTCGGGAGGCTGCGGTTTTCCTTGGGTTTTGAGGTGAGGATCGAGGAGGGAGCTGGGGCAAAAGGCCGAAGCGGGCTGGGCCCAAAATGAAAGCCCAAGCATGGGTGTGGGGACGGGGATCCGCGCTAACGCGCAGCGAGGGGGTCCGCTGCCCGTTCCCCTATGCACCCGCGCGCCGCTGCAGATGGCGCACCCTCCCCCGCCAAAGCGCGGCTCCAGCCTGAGCCGCCATCGCCATGTCGTTGAACTTGAATGGTTCCGTCCTCCCCATTTCCCTGTTCAGCGGTCAGCAGGCTCCGCTTTGGGGGCAGCGCGCTGCCTGTGCCCCACCCCGTGTAAAGAGAAGGTGCGAGAATTTTGCGCACTCCCAGACACGTAAAGACCCGGCTGGAGGAGGGGAGGGTCCCTGCAGCCGCTGCCCTGGGTCCTGAGCTGCCGCAGGCCAGTGTGCAGTGTCCGGGGAGCCATTTTAGGAGAGAGATCCAGGGGCGTCGACCACGAGCCCGAAAGGGAGAGGCTTGGGCGGGCGATGGAGATGGGAGGCAGATAAGTGTGCTGGCGGTCTGGACCGAGGAGAAAGGGGCGAGCAGGAATCTGGGCGAGGGTGCCAGCTGGGAGGGGGGTGCACAAAACGATGGGCAGTTCTGGGGCGGGGGGAGCCTCCTTGCCCTCCAGTCGCCACAGACCTGTTTGCGCAGTGTTCGGAGGAAAGCAGAGATCGGAGGGGGGCGGAGGAAGAAGAGTGGGAGGGAGAAAAGGAGGGAGGAGAAAAAGGGGGGGAGGACAACGGCCAGAAAATAGATATGAACTCCCGATCGCCCGCCTTTTCTCTGTCTGTCGGCATGGTGGGCAGAGCCTGCCCCACGGGCACTGCGGCGGCCGGGGCCAGGGAGGGAACCAGCTTCACAGCCCGCACCGCCTGCCCTGGGCGTAAGGCTGAGGTCCAGAACCCAGTGCTGGGATTTCCTGGGCTGAGGAATCTTGGGGAGAGAGGCAATGTCCTGGCCCTCGGCTCTGGGATCTGGGTTTGAGGAGCTTCTTTCTGAGAGGCCGATTTTACCTTTGGAAAGCGCTGGCTCTCCTGGAGGCGGGAGTCCAGGCCTGGCCTGGACCCCCGGGGCTAGGAAAGAGGGACCTGGCGGCCGTGGAGGAAAGTGAGGCCTTGGGGCAAATGGATGGGGGGCTCTCAGGGCCAAGTGCTGCAGAGAGGCTCAAGCAAGGAGGAAAAAGCTGCTGAGAGCATTCCGCCCCCCCCCCCCCCGAGCCAACGGCCCCCCCGGGGGGCCCCCCCCCCCCCCCCCCCCCCGCAGAGACCATGCCTGCCCAAGGGCACTGCAGGAGCCTAGGGGAGACCCGGCGGCGGCGTGGATGCGTAGGCCTTGGCGGGTCTCCGACGCAGGGAAGGGGCTGGTTGTGAGGCGGGCTGGTGGTAGCCCAGGCCAAAAAGCAGAGAGGGTGAGGAGGGTGTAGGGGCCAGTGGTTTGTCTCCGATTGGTGGGGAGCGGGAGGCCAGGCACCTTTAGAGGAGGACTCCAGGTCCTTTTGTTCACCAGACCCCCAGCTTCTAGAGGGCCACGGGGCATCTCCGCTGGCTGAACTTCCTCTTTGCTTTAGCACTGGGAGAGGAAAGGCAGAGAGGCGACAGGGAGAGCAGAGGTGGTGACACACAGCTAGAGGAAAGGAAGAGAAGATCAGGGGACAGAGAAAGAGGAGAGGAAACGAGGAAAGTAAAAAGAAGGAGGAGGGCAAGAGGGAACAAGAGAAGGGAGTGGGAGAAGAGAGGACAGGAGAGAAAGCAGTGAGAAGACTGAAGGGAGACCAGGGAAGGAGAAAGGGAGACAGGAACAGAGAGAGAAGAGAGGGCGAGAGATCCGAGTGGGCACCGAGGCCCGGGCCTGGGTGAGCTCCTGGTAGGGTTTTGGTGTGGGTTTTTTTCGAGGCTGGCACTCGCGCTCCCGGGGTCAGGAGTGGGGGAAGCCAAGTTATTCGGCGATGAACGCGCAGGGCTGAGAAATATGTAAATCAGGGCTCCGTGTGCCCCGAGAGTGGCGCAATTACGCCCCTTGAGAAAGAAGCAACAAGCTCCTGACCGGCAAGCTGCAGAGGGGTGGCGGCGTCGCGGGGGAGGGAGCGGTTGCAGGAAGGGGTGTGGGGGGTGGGAACCTCACAACCTCACACCTAGTCCCCTGTGCCCCGGGCTGGGGCTCCCCCCTCCGCTCTTCGCTTCTTTCCCTTCCCCCTTCCTCCCCCTTCCTCCCCCGCCCTCCTCCTCCCCGCCGGCTTCGGTCCGCGTACTTAAAGCGGCGCGGGCGGGCGGGCGGGCGCGGGCGGGCGGCCCAGCCGGGCGGTGGCAGATGCACCCAGCAGTGGCGGCCGCTGGCGGCGCACAGGTGACCAGCCTGCGGCTCAGCCTGGTCTGGGAGCGCCCGGGGAGTGCTGGCTGGAGCGGGAGACTGATCCGCCCCCAGCGCACGCGTGCCTCGGCGCCAGGAGCCGTCCCGGGGCGTGTTGGCGAGAGCTGATATAGATATAAGGACATTTCTCTCCATGGCGTCACGTGACATAATTACCACCAGAATCAATCAAGATGAATTGCACGTCAGCGCCCGGTGGGGATTTTTGCTTAGTTGATCCTGGCCCAAGCCTCTTGTGCAATCGATGGCTCAGGTTGGCGGCGCGGGGAGCGGCCCGGGGCTCGCCGGCGCGCACGCCGCGGAGCCATGAACGACTTTGATGAGTGCGGCCCGAGCGCAGCCAGCATGTACCTGCCCGGCTGCGCCTACTATGTGGCCCCGTCGGACTTCGCCAGCAAGCCGTCCTTCCTATCGCAACCGTCGTCCTGCCAGATGACTTTCCCCTACTCTTCCAACCTGGCGCCGCACGTCCAGCCCGTGCGCGAAGTGGCCTTCCGTGACTACGGCCTGGAGCGCGCCAAGTGGCCGTACCGCGGAGGCGGCGGCGGCGGCGCGGGGGGCGGCGGCGGCGGGGGCGGCCCCGGCGGGGGCGGTGGCGGCGGCGGCGCCGGGGGCTACGCTCCCTACTACGCGGCAGCCGCGGCGGCGGCGGCGGCGGCGGCGGCGGCCGAGGAGGCGGCCATGCAGCGCGAGCTGCTCCCTCCCGCGGGCCGCCGGCCGGACGTGCTCTTCAAGGCGCCGGAGCCGGTGTGCGCCGCGCCCGGGCCGCCACACGGCCCCGCGGGCGCCGCCTCCAACTTCTACAGCGCCGTGGGCCGAAACGGCATCCTGCCGCAGGGTTTCGATCAGTTCTACGAGGCTGCGCCCGGGCCCCCGTTCGCCGGGCCGCAGCCCCCTCCACCTCCTGCGCCGCCGCAGCCCGAGGGCGCCGCCGACAAGGGCGACCCCAAGACGGGGGCCGTTGGCGGCGGGGGAAGTCCTTGCGCCAAGGCGACCCCCGGCTCGGAGCCCAAGGGGGCGGCAGAAGGCGGCGGCGGCGATGGCGAGGGGCCCCCGGGGGAGGCGGGGGCTGAGAAGAGTGGCGGCACAGGTAGGCACCCGGTGCGGGGCGGGCGGCTGGGCCGGGGCGGGGGCGGGGGCGGGGGGGGCCGCGCGGGGGGGGGGGGGGGGGGGCCTCCCTCTGCTTGCGCCGTTTTATGTGCTACTTTATAAGCGTTCGAAGGGGTTTATACATCCTATAAGATTTCCCGGGCCGTTGTAAAGTGTGTTTACGATAGGAAACCAATTTAGGTGGGCTTAAGGTAGACTTCGAAGGGGACATTAATCGCTGCACAGAGATTTTCCCCAGTTTAGGGGGGTGGGTATTGCTAGAGACCATGGAATGAGGAGGGGAGATTTCAAGCCACTTTGTGAATGTGGACACTCGAACCTCCTGCTCTTAAGGGGGTGGGGTGGGGAGATTCTTGAACTGGACTTTATCCAAGCCTCTGGCTGACGCGCGCTGCTGGCTGGAGTAGAACAGATGCATGGGCGCGCTCGTGTTTCTCTCCCTTCGGGTTCCAACTCAGAGCCGGCCTTGCCCTCTGCTTCTCCACCTCCGTGCCAGGGTGTGTGTGTGTGTGTGTGTGTGTGTGTGTGTGTGTGTGCGCGCGCGCGCTCGCGTGTGTGTGTGTGTGTGTCTCCGTCCGGGCGTGAACACAGGTCCACGCCCGCACTCTCTCCTGTGCCCGCCCATATATCATCCCCCACGACTCAGGCAGGGCCTTTCAGTGGCGGCAGGGGACGTCCCCAACGGGCCGAGGCCTGGCTCTCGCGCGGGCCTGGGCCGGCAGGCGGGCTGCAGTGGGCAGCCGGCGGCCTCTCTCACCTCTTGGTTTCTTTGCCTTGCAGTGGCCCCCCAGCGGTCCCGGAAAAAGCGCTGTCCCTACACCAAGTACCAGATCCGCGAACTGGAACGCGAGTTTTTCTTTAACGTGTATATAAACAAAGAGAAAAGACTCCAACTCTCTCGGATGCTCAACCTCACTGACCGGCAAGTCAAAATCTGGTTCCAGAATCGCAGAATGAAAGAAAAGAAACTGAACAGAGACCGTCTGCAGTATTTCACTGGAAACCCCTTATTTTGAGAGCTCCAGGAAGCACCCCTCTTCCTGAGCCCCACCCGCCCACCCACTTCCCCACCAGCTTGCCCTGGGCAGGCCCAATGTTCTTGGGTTTAATGATGCCTCTTCTCTGTGGAACTCCACGATTCCTTCCCATGGTCAACTCGGGACCTCCCAGCGACCACTGCTGCCTGCGGACGAGGCCGGGGACTTGGCCGAATGGATCCTAATAAGGGGAAAATGGTAAATGCGAACGTCCCTTTACAATTTTACCGCCAATGTGCTGTTGTTCTCCCTCCCTCTCTCCGAGTCCCCGTGGGGACGCTGTGGGATCTGTAGAGAGTTAGGCCGCTGGGCTGGAAGGCGCTTGTTTTTGTTCTGAGTTTAAGGGACCTGACCATCCCCCTTGGTGAATGCAGATTATTTAAACTCTGGGAAATGTATCTTCGGTCTGTCGGTCTGTCGTATCAAGGCATAAGTCACTGTGTTTTGTGTGAATAAATGGTTTCTGGTAAAATGGAGGTTACAGCTTCAACACAATATATGATTTTTTCCTCTTGAAAGAAGTTTAGTGTCTGATTAGGGGATTTTAGTGGCCAGAACCTTCTCCCATATTCAACTGAAGATCAAGTGAAATGCTTTTTAATCCCACTGAAATAAGAGTAGCTCTCTCCCACCCTGTCTAGGCTACACTGGTTTGAAAAATCACTTTAGGGATGAATTTCTGAATTAAGGATGTGACCCGGCCATTCTGGTGCTGCTTTCTCCAGGCAATGAGGCTGGGGCAGCAGGAACCTAAGAAGGAAGTCTCCTCCCCCATTCCCAGTTTAGTGAACTTGGAATATTTGAAAAGACAAAAACCATTTTTAAAAACTTGTTAGAAAATCTAAATTTACTCTTAACAAGGTGTCAAGGAGCCAAGGTCCCTTAAAAAAAAAAAAAAAAAAGAAGCCAAAATTAGAAACCTTCCTTGAAAAAAAGATAGTTTGCTAAAAGGAAGTTACCAGTGGTGGAGAGGGCTTGGGATCCTTGCTAGTGTCAGAGCAGGCGTACCTACGGTAGAGAAGGTAAGATCCCTCCCTGGAATAGGGCCTGAGGCTGCAGACCCACTTCTCACTGCATTTATCGCTTCAGGTTAAAGAATGTGGTGGGGGCTGAACTGCACTTTATGTTGCAGGGCCAGGCCAGGCTGTTTACAAAACCTTGAACTGTCTAGACAACACCATAAAAGCCAAAGTTCTAAACAGCTTAATTGGGTTATATTATACACCTTCTGGTGGGCCCAAAAGAGATTTCCGCAATGTGCAATAAACTGTAGGAGTGAGAAAAGCATCTCTTTCTCTGAAAAAAGTAAAGTGAATCATGACTCTTAACCTCTCCTAAGCCCAAAGTAAAAAGAAAAAAAAAAAGAAAGAAAGAAAGAAAAGAAAAAGAAAAAAAAATCCATAAGATATACAGTACGCCATGCATCTTCAGAGGAGGTATACGTTTCCAAATACAAAATTTTTTTAATTGCCAAAGTTTGGTGGGGGGGGAGGAGGAAAAACATAAGTGCATAAGTGTATGCCTTTGAACTTCCAAAATGTCAAGGTCATCACCTTTAACCTTTCTGAATAATTAGGCGCCTTAAGGTTCTTCTGTGATATTCAGCCGCCACCCACTCTCACACACACATTCTTACACACATCCAGACCCCCACATACATTTATGACCACACAGCATCATATCAGGGGTTCACCATAAATCTAAGCAAATGCCTAATTTCAGGATCAATAACCTTAATTTCCCTTCAAACATTTGTGTAATTCAATAGCAGTTGACTTCTTTTTAAAATACTGGTTAGATTTAAGTGTCTACCAGCATGTTTTTTAATACAGTTAGTATATACTGAGGTGGGTTTTTTTGAGGGGGAGGTCATAGACAGCATTCCCCTTTGCTCTAATGAAGAACCACGGCTTTCAAAGCAGGCATTTGATTTGAAAGCGGAAGCTTTAGTCAGATTTACACCTTCGCTATATTTGAAAAAAAACTGTTGCACCGTCAGATAAGTTATTGTACTTTCTATGATATGGAACAAAACTAAAAATATTTATATTGTTTTCCAAAGTGTCCCTCAACCTTTGGTGAAAATTGCAAGAGAAACAAAGCCTATGGTTGAATAATTTCGTTCGGAAGGGGATTTCTTTGTGTGGAATTCTGGGCGTCCGTTAAAATGTCAGTGCCCTAGTAGTATAATCGTTGCAGGAGCTTAAAACTGCTTTCTTTCTTTCTCTCTCCATCTTTTTTTTTTTTTAACTGCGTCTAAATGTAGCAAGCTTGTGTGTCCACCACCTTAGGTAAGCCGAACCGAGAGATACCACTTCCCGTTTGCATGGCCTTGGAGAGCCACACGGGGGCGTGCTCACGTTCCAGAAGCCGCGTTTGGCGGAGAGGCCGCGGTACCCTATCTTTCCAATACTGATTCTAATATGCAATCTGAGCCCGTTAGAAACAGGCGGCCACTAAGGTATTTGTTTGCTGTTTGTTTGATCTAAGCAGCCACGAGGTGTGGGAGGTTGTATAAAGACAGAGAAAAGGGAGCTACCCAGATTCCTGAAACAGACAGTCACCTAATCGTTATCTCCTTAAAGATAACGCGGTTGCAAAGAATACCTTGGTATAATCTGGTGGTGTCAAGGAGAGATTTTTTTTAAAAGACCAATATGTACATTTCCAAATAGGTCATGCCACTGAGAGTTAATTAAATTAGAGAAATTAATTTTCTTGTTGGTTTGAGTATGGAGAACGATGTGAGGGTAGGACCAACTCCTCCCCAAAACAGCGTCCGTCTCGTACGCTCTCCGACCGCCTGGGATGATTAAAAGGCTTTTGTTTAAGACAGATCGGGGCGCCGGCAACTTAGCTGAGTGTGGTCTCAGAGAAAATGAGACGCGTCGGGACTGAGGGGGTCGTTCTGGGCGAGGGAGTGCCCCCCAACCCGGCCATGCCTGGCAGCCGGGGCTGCCGGTAGCCAGAAGCGCAGGCGGAACTCTGAGTTGGGGCGCCTAGGGCAGGCTGGGCTGACGCGGCTGCGGGAAGCCGCAGACTGTCCCGGGAAACGTTTATACTACGAGGCAAGGCGGCGCGGAATGGGGATTGCATTTGAAGCAAACGAGCTTTGCGTTTGACAGAACCCTGGACACTCTTCGCAGCCGCCTGCTGGCTTTGAGCACGGAGTTTGATTTTTGACACCAGCTCTTGGAAGCAGTCTTCTTGCTGCATGCCCTCCTGGCCCCCCATCCCCCTTTTGCAAAACCCCTGATTTTGGGGAGGGCCTGTGTCGCCATCCTCTGTCCAAAAGGGAGGGCTCCAGGACATGAAAGGGCTGTTCTAAGGGACGGTGGCTGTCCCTTCTTTCCCGAAGTTCATTTTGAAGCGCCTGCAACTCCCAGAATTAGTGCCGGCCTCCTGGGCCCTGCTGTCTCTGTCTCCTTTCTCCAAACCCTGGACCAGAGGCCCTGGGTCCCCCCTGGGAGCTGGCATCAGCTTCAGTGGAGGCTGGGGCGCCATGAGCCCCCCAGTGAGGCGCCAGCCAGAGGCATAGGTGATCCCCATGGGCACCCCGGCTCCTGCCTGTCTGACCGCCGGTCCTGCTTAGCTATTGTGAAGCGACATTTCTCAGAGCCTAACCTGGCTCTCAGTCCAGGTGGGGAGGGAACCCTCCTCCCCAAATGTCATTGTGTTCCTCTTCAGGCAGCTCCAGCAGGGGTGCGTGTGGCCTTTCAGGGCCCCTTGGCCTTGGCTGGCAGCCTTCCTCAGACAACGGGCACTAAGCAGTCTGCAGTTCCTTTCCTACCAGCAGCGCCCAAACGGGCCTGAGAAAGGACAGAGGATTGGACCAGGACTTCTGGGGGGCTGCAGACCCGACCCCTCCTGATTGTTCAGAGCCTGTGGGGCTCACGGAGTGTGGCCACGTATCTTGAATCACCGAGATCTCAGATCCTGAAGTGGAGGGAAAGTGCGCCAAGTAGGAGTCTTTTGTGTCTGTAACAGAAAGAGGCTCCCGAGCCGCCAGCCCTTTCGCACAGTCTCCACAGACTCTTCACTGAGTTGGTGGTGGCTTCCACAGCCTGCCCATTTGCCCCCTTGATTTCTTTTCACATTGGCTGGAAGGGGCACAGTGCAACCCGGAGGGGCTCCCTGGGGAAGCAGCCTTTAAAATTTGTCCCCATCCACTCTGCCCCCAAAGAATGGCCCAGCCCTGAGGCCACTCAGGGCCCAAATTCAGGGCCAACCTAGGAGTCCCCAGGTCTACTCAGGCCCAGGGTCACTGTTCTTCCTGGTGACAGAAGAGCGCAGATGCAAGCCACTTCTTGATTACAAATGCTAATTTCTTGCTAAAGCGACCCTATTAATTTTTCTCTGGAAAGAGCTGTGCCAGGGAGAAGGATGTCTTGGTACAAATATGGATATTCATCTCCTTTATAGTGCAATATTGATTTATTATTAATGGTAACTGCTCCAGCTGATCTAAAGATGATCGAAAACGGCAGCGATGCAGCTACATTAAATACTCCTAAGCAAAATACTGGCTGGCCTTGAAAGCCACTGCCTTTTCATTCCACTTGCTCCATCCTAGCCTTAAGAGTCTTAGCCAAACTTTCCAACCTCCCAGGTCCAGATCATTCTCCTGTATTATTTCTGTTTTGCTCCATTTTTATTACAAAATTCCTCTGAAATATTGGAGTCTCTGGCCTCAAGGAACTGGTCTGAAGGCAGATATTTGAGAAAGAATAAAAGGGAATTTTGTGATAATAGATTCAAAATTATAGCCGATACACAGATTTTCTGTGAATGAAGAACTATTTGAAGCCAAATCTAACGTGGGGATGACTTAGAGCCCGGAGCCCCTGGGAATTGAAACAGAAAGGCCCCCAAATTCGGAAGGCAGATCCTGCTCGTGCTGGCTCACCGCAGACCTACCCGCTCCACAAGGAATTGCTGGTTTTTAGCCTGAATGTTTGCTTCATGTATAAATAAAGATT